AGATAGCCTTTCATAGAAAAAAAAAATTGTGCACTTGGTGGGGCTTGGGTGTACAGATATGGCCTCCTTGGCTGGAAGGAGGGCACAGCAGGAATATCTACCTGGTTACCTAGAACGATACAAAGCTTCCAAAAGTCTTCAAATAAATGCCAGTCTCTTCATGTGTCTTCAGAAATAGACCTTTTGAGAGAGACAGGAGAGCTGCCCTTAAAATGGAGACACGTGAGCAACATATACGTTTTACTGTTTTTCAAATATGCACATAAAAGCTGATCCTGATGACCCCAAGAGCAGAAACCACGATCCCTAGGTCCTCAAGAGTGATGAATGTTGCTTAAAATTCATAAGCCACTCAATTTTTGATGTATTATTATACTTTCCAGTCACATTTCTAAGCTTCTCTCTACCTCCTAGAGATGCAGAAAACCATTACTTTTATTTGTATATACGCATACACGTGAAAAAAAAAATTCAGATGATTACAGGAGCTTGGGCCTTAATACAATCATCAACTACTACAAGATTTGCAATAAATTTGCATATTATGCTTGTTTGTTACATAACTATATCCAGTCATTATGAATACTGAGTCCAGGGTTTAACAGTGTACAAACTTCAGGCAGAAACAAGTACAACATATTACAGAATCTGCACATACAGCTTCACTGGATATAAGCAAATTTCTCAAACTGGCATTTGACATGGGTATATTTTACATCTATGACACACATTCACCCAAAGCTTAATGAGCAACAGATTCGTTGTCCCCTTAACCACACAGCAGCCAAAAAGCAGTGATTGTGGCAGCTCACAGTCCCCATGCACCATGGCACCACCTGCCACTGTCACCAAGAAAAGTATCAAGCCACACGCACGTGTTTTATCTCCTCCAATATTTGATTTTGCACTTGGCTCTCAGAGGGCAGTGCCAGCATGAAACACCACTATTTCCATCACTAGCCGTCCTATACTTCACTGACTCATACATAAATGATGCCTGTGGCATCAGGCAGGGAAGAGGTGGGGAATAAACGCAATGATTTCCTCTGTTTCCAACCAAAATGCTCAAGACCAGTCCTGTTTCCTTGTGCACTGAGCACACAGTCCAAGCTGACAATGCCACCAGTAAAAGCTCCCAGAAACCTTCCTCCAGAAGCAAGGTGAGATTTTTATCAGCAGGTACAGTGGCAAAGCCCCTGTTCAGTTCAGTGGATTTTAAAGCTAATGAACTACAAGACAGCTCCTCAGTACTCACAATCATACCAGCTTTAAGAAGTCATCCTGCTCAATACTCTGTAAAATACAGCTCCTGCTATTAAAAATTAAGTGTGCATATAAGCTTTTGTTCATCTGGGATCTGACCTGCTGCTCCTACACCACTAAAATCAGCTGGAAATGCAACACTTCATTGCTTGAGAGCAAAACAGAAGCCCAAATGGCCAACAGCTTCACCAAGGGGGTGGAACATAAAAAGCAAGAAAATGACAGAGTAATGAACTGCAGAGCCTCTCATGAGGATCCATTTGTAAGGTGCCAAGTGGCATACCCATTATTTAGTCCCAAACATTTTATAAATTTATAATATAAATGCTATGCAGTTGGTTTGGAAACATGTTTTTTACACTTTTCATCCTATTCCCCATCCAAGCTTGACTTCAAATCCTATATATATATATATATATATATATTTATATATATCCTATATATAAAGATATTATAAGTATCATTTATATTAAATGAGTTTAGGTTTTATAAAAGAAAAAAGAAAATCTTCTAGCCATTCTCACAACCACATCTCAAATATTGACTGTATTAACATTGTAGCTGCAACAGGTCCATGATTACAACTCTGAGTGGTCCAGCCTTCAGTTATCAAAGCACAAATTAACCTGAATAAACCAGCTGGCTGGTTGCTCATATGCTGCATCACAACAGCTCCTTTCTAATCAGGAGACAAGACAGGCTCCAGGTACTTGTTGTGTTGCATAGCATACCCTGCTGATACAGCACTTACCTGTCTCTAATAAGGTATATTAGGAATAATAAAAAAAACAAACTGCTTTCCAATAAACTAGGTTGTTTAATCATTCACTCATGCTCTATGTAAAGCCACCCCAAAACCATGCAAATCACCGAACTTGAAAGCATCAGGCTCCTTCTCACCACACACTACAACAGCAAAAAGCACAGTAAATACCCCCTTTTAGGCAAAACCCCCGACTTTCACATGGATCATAGTCCTCTTCTTAAAAGGGAGTTAGTATCTACAACTTTTGCAATGACAGCATCACACATCTCTACACTAATATGCTTCCAGAAGCAATTTTAAAGCAAAGAAATAAGTGGGTTTTGCTACTATTACTGCACTGCAGCAAAGCAATATGGCAGCTGTTTAATAGCACATAACAAAATTGCAGGACTGCTCACAAAAGGAAAAATAATCTTCAGGAGAGGGGGATTTAAGTAGTTAGAATGCAATTACCTAAATTGAAATTTGGTGGTTAATGACCTTGTGCTTAAAAAAATTGTTACATAGTCCTTAACTATCAGAGCTTCCATTTTAAATCTCATTGACAGTACTTCCATAACAGCCATCATGAAGCTCTAGCCTAGTAAAAATTCCACAAGAAGATTAATAGGCATTTAATTAATGCCCCATCTTTTTGCTGAATCTTCAGTAAAGGCCAGGTGTTGACCTATGACAGTGACTCATCCTGGCCCTGCTTAACTTAAGCACACTGGAGGCTCAACAGCTCAGTGTAATAAGGATGAAAAGCAGGCAAGCATATCGATTCCTAGAAGACATGATTAGATTTTCATAGAAGTATCTCTTATGAAGGGTCTGATTCCCAGCCAGGCATCTGCCACTAGGCCATGCAAATGTATCCTTTCTATGGTGCTGTTAAAAAAACCTGTGATGCCAAGAGCATATGATTACATGTAAAAAGCCTTCAGGGTGCAGAAACAACCCCTCATTTGAGGAAAAAAAGAGAATTATTTATTGCATGAGCCTTTCAAAAAGAGGAGTGCAAGGGGTTGAAAGGAAATCAGAGGAGGGGCTGAATCCTCACCTCTCAGTCTCCACTAGTCATGTAATCTCCTAGCTTCACACAGCTGAGCTGAAACCTCAAGTTGGACACAACCCTTCCAAAAGGTTACCAGCAGTCCCACTGGTGCCCTTCACTCCCTGGTGGCACCTGTAGCCACAGATAAGCCCATCAACAGGGGATTGGATGAGGCTTTTCCCTTCTTTGTCTAGTTCCTAATAAGAAAAAATCCATTTCTGAGTCAAAGAGCACATTTGTATGCAGATTAGGACAAAAGTAATGCTTAAAAACAAAAATAGCCCAATTTCTTGAATAATTGTTCCAACAACTTAAAGCAAACTCCTTGCAATATACCAAATTGGAGAGATAATTCTGAGTGACTTTTAGCCAGCAATAAGGACAGGCTCTTGTCTTCTTCCATTACAAACTCCTTCCCTCATCCAAAAGCAAACCATCATCCTAAACCCTCGCTGTTACTCTTCTTTCACTTCCCAAATCTAGCCTTTTATCGTGACACAAATGTCTTGTGCTTTACTCTGAGTCCTGTTCTGAGTTCTGCTCTACCACATGCTGGGACAAGATTCCCAGGACATAATAACTAGCACAGGCACACAGTGATAGAAAAGCAATGCATAATTCAATACAAAGTTTTAAAATTTTATAGAGCAGCCAGTAGAAAGGAAAGCAGAATATCAAAATCTCCAATGTGTTCACAGCCATAACTTGTGTTTGAGACTGCAACATCTCTTCAGTGGCTTTTGAACTTTAAGACAAGAGCTCAAAGCTCAAACACAAACCTTTAGCTACACTTGAAATTAAAACAAATCTCATCCATTTAAGGTCAGCTGTTAGTGCTGACACTACTTCAAGTCCTCACCTGGGGTTTGGCTCTTAAAGCTGAAAATACTCTTGGAAACATTTTGCTAGTCTCCACTGTATGCCCAGACATTCAGATTTAATCTAGAATCTTATACATCAAAACCAGAACACACATCCTTATAGATAATACCCACTTAATTAGGAACTAAGAAACTTCCAGGTAAAAAGTGCTGTCACTTGAAATTTCTGGCTAGAAAAATGCTCACATAAAAGCTCAACCTCTCTGATGACTCATCTTCTTCTCCATTTCCTCCACACCATCAATGATCCCACAGTTCAAGGAACAATAGCTCTTCTCTACCTGGTTTTTATACCACATCCTGCTCAGGAACCACGGAGCCCAGGCTCCTGGTGATGAGCTATGCAGGTGGCCATCACAGCACTGAGGGGCTGCAGGGTCCCTCTGGCCATCAAGGCACTGAGTGTGAGTGATAACACGTGTGTGATTGCTGACCATGGAAAGGAGGACATGCCTGTGTCCCAGAGATCTCTCCCAGGCTGTATGGAGCACACACTCTCCCATTCATTCCAGGCCAGACATCACAAGAAGACACTGGCAGGACAGTGACATGTACTAAACGGAAAGGAGAGGGGTCACCTAGGTTTCCCTGCAATCAGGGTGCAGAAGGAGTGGTGGTTCCCTCACTAAGGGCAAGGTGAGCTCTCAGTAAAGCCGGTATTTTCAGACACCTCCACCGTCCATGGCGGTCTGAAAAGCTCCTGGGCTGGCAAATCCTACTCTGTCCCAGTCAAAAAGGGAGGTGGGAAGGGGAAGAATAGGCCTTTCTAATGTATCTCTCTTCACACCTCCACTCTCCCCACTCCCAGTCCCTGTGCCTGGGACTGTCAGCAGCTCTTTCTGAAATCCCTCCTTTCATAATCAATTTCTTTTGATCACACACTAAAACAGCAAAGGTTCTGTTTAAACAAGAGCAATGAACAAAGAAGGTCCTTAAATATACAATAGAAGTCATTCCTTACCTGCAAGGCACCCCAGGAGGGCAGGATGAGGGGAGGACGGGGCAGGAGGGAGCCAGAGGTGGGGAGGGAGAAGGGGCAGCTCAGAAAGGATATGGGTTGCACACCATTTTGATGCACCAGCTCCGTGGGCTGGTGGTCTGCTTCAAGCAGAAGAAGACAACTGGGGCCAAGTCTGGATAGGGGACATCAGGATCTGGAGGGGAGGTGACTTCTTCATCCTCACCCAGCTCCAGGGAGGACGGTGGCTGCTCCGGTGGTGTTTGTGGCTCCGATATCCCCAGATCCACAGGCTCCAGTGGGAAGATGGCAGAAGCGTGAGGGGGCTGTGGGCCTGCGGGCCAGGTGGAGGGAGGCTGGGGGATGTACTCTGCCATGCCAGCCACAAGCGAGAACCCCTGGAGAGGAAGCAAGAAAGAGAAATTAAATCCCACAAGGAACCAGCAGCAAAAGCACAGCACATCTGTGCTCTCCTAGCAAGTCCAGAGCAGGAGAGAGCTGCAGGACTGATGGCTCCGATAAATGATAAACCACTTGGTGCTGAGGCAGTTTTAAGCTCTTTTCTGCCAGTCACTCTCTCTACCAAGACTCCTCTGGCTACTCCCCCAGTCACCTTTAAACCACCCTGTAGCCCCTGAGACACCCTGTCAGAGTGCTGCGCCATCTCAGAGGATGGTGCCAGCTCTTTTGGAGGCAGCCTGAGCACCATAACAGAGCACAATGTTTTGAACTGCACAGGCCCATCCTGACACAACAGAGACATCCTGCCCTTCCAGCCCCTAATGGAGTCCTGCCAACTCCAGGTTCAGCTTTGCTGGCCCAGCTCCACCATCCAAGGGCACTCTGGGCTGGCCCTGTGTCACACCATGGCACAGGCTCCATCAGACTGACACTGACAAATGCATGTCAAACCTGTAACACAGCAGTCACTCATTCAGACAGCGAGCTGTAACACAAGCCAGAATTGGGATTAAACATTAAGCACCTTTTACTTGAGTCTCTTGAACTCTCCTGTGCTGGAGTAGTGGAAACACCATGAACACTAGCTGCAAAAGTTATTTCATTAAACAGAATGGTGAGAGAGCGTGGATGGGCATGAGAAGAGCAGGTCTCAAGTTCACTGCCAGCCTGTGCAGGTTTTGGCTGGGGAAGGGTTAATTTTCTTTACAGTAGCTGGAGTGGGGATGTGTTTTGGATTTGTACTGGAAACATTGTTGATAATACCGATGATTTAGTTTCTGCTGAGCAGAGCTCACACAGCATCAAGGCATTTTCTGTTTCTCACATCACCCTACCAGTGAGTTGGCAGGGGATGTACAAGAAGCTGGGAGGATTTGCAGCCAGGACAGCTCACCCCAACTAACCCAAGAGATATTCCATATCATATGACTCATTCTCAGCACATAAAGCTGGGGGAAGAAGGAAGAAAGGGGGACATTTGGAGTGATAACTTGTATTCCCTAGCCAGTATTATGTACGATGGAGCCCTGTTTTCCTAGAGATGGCTGAACACCTGCTTGCCCATGAGAAGAGGCAAATAAATTCCTTTTTTCACTTTACTTGAGTGCACAGCTTTTGCATTACCTATGAAACTGTCTTTATCTCACTTTTCTGCCTTTTTCTCCCTTTTATTCTTTTGATTCTCCTCCCATTCATACTCACCCATCCAGCTACCCTCCATAGCTGGAGGGTAGTGAGCAAGTAGCTGTGTATGGCTTAGCTGCCAGCCAGGGTTGAACCACAACACTCCCACACACTGCAGAGCACCAAACTTTTGCTAACAAACATCACTTTGCTGCCTGGGTGCTGTCCATTCAATAGCAGAATGGAAGTGGCTTGTCAAATGGAGGGGAATTAAATAAACTCCAAGATTTGGCTTTGGAGGAGTGTTACATGGATACTCTTAGGAAAGACAGCTTGGCCAATGACTGCCCGTTTTCTTCCCTTCACCCTGTTGGCATGTTCAACCATCTGGAGTGCCCATGCTGCAAGTACAGATTTAAAAGCTGCACAAGAGCCCTCAGACACGCTGCAGTACAGAAAGGGATGATGAGCAGCAGGAAAGGATGTGTCTGTCCAGACCTCCTCTCCTTACGTATTGGCCATAGGTTATCCTCCCTGGCACTTGTCTCAGTTCTCTTCACTTTAGGATCACAATGCCCATGAGCAGCTCTCTTGACACTGCTCTGTCTTGGCAATGCACCCTTGACCTTTCAGCCTGTGATCCTTTTGATGCTCACACTGCTGGATCCACGATCTCCAATGCTCTCCACAACACTCATCTGTCAGGCTTGCCAACCACTCAACCTTAGGTTGCAGTGCCCCATCATTCCCAGATGAGACTCTGAAACCTCTGTCTACCCATCCTGTTTTCTCAGGCTTCTGCTTACAACGCACACTTTGATCCAAAGCTTTGCTTGTTCTTCAAGGCTTGGTATTTGTCAGAATAAAGAGCAGCAAGTGAAGGGGTTTAGAAAGCAGACATAGTGTCCCTTAGGGGATAGCAGAGAGACTCTTCGAATTCATTATCCCAAAGGCCTGCAGCTATTGGAAAGAACAGATACCATGTCTCCTGACTGGCTTTGGGATGCTGTTCTTAATTTTTTAAGCCCTGTGAAAAAAATGCCAGTGCATCCTTCTCAGCATCTATCACTGCTGTTTTCAAAAATACTTTCAGCAGATTTTTGACTCTGGGCACCCATGCAACTACGTGGACCATCTTTTCCATTCCCTATTCCCACCAGCTTCCCATTGCCTGCTCTGAGCTGGCTCCCTTGCAGGCTATTAACATGCAGTGGCTGAGCCCAACTTCCCTCCCATTACAGCACAGAGGAGAAAGATTAGCAGAGACAGCCAGGAGGAATTACTTATTATGGTGCTCAGAGCATGCACGCTGATGAGGGCATGACAGTTCCAAACTGCAGCGTACAAAGCTTCATAATTACCAGTACAACTGAGAAAGGGAATAGGAGAAACAACCTCATCAGCATTTCCCTGCTTTCCCTTCAGCAAGCATCCAGGGCCTCTTCTCCATCTCACCACTGCTAGATGCAGCTGGGACTTAGGGATGCTGCTCTGCCCATGTGAAACACACATGCACAAAATGGGTGGTGTGTATATCACAGACAGTTCATCATTCTAATTTGTGCAGCTCAGATTGACTCATTAGGGCTCATATGGACACAGGGCCAGGTGAATCCCTTTGGAAGTCCTGAAGCTAAATACAGTCCTTGAATGACAGCTGCCCCACTGGGGATGTGAGTAATACCCGTTACCTTCCTGAGATTAAATCCTGTTCTGCCTCCCAAGGCTGTGATCACGATGTATTTCCTACATTAAGCAGGATTAATATTCTGTGTCAAAAGAGAGAGAGGGGAAAATCAAGCAGTGGGGCACTTCCGAGCTCTTCACACAATCAGTCCTCCTAACTCAACTTCAAAGGAGAGCAGAGTGGTTTTTTTGCCAGAGATAGGTCCAGGGTTGTCTCCACTACCATTTCTGATGTGGAGGTTGCAATCAGCTATTTCCCCTACTTTTGTCAAGCTGCAACTCATGCAATGCTGCTATTTTCTCTGAGCTTGAAATCACTGGCCTTCTCTTGCTGTAGCATTGCTCTGTAACTTGGTTGGAGTCAGCCTATTACAGTATTTGAATCCAGGGGAGCCCTGTTTAAATCAAAATGAGGAATGAGTTTGGCAAATGCATTTATCTGCATATACAAAAAAAAATGTCCATCAATGAAGAGTGCTCCTAGCCAGATAAAAGGCAGTTATAGTTGAGTTATAGAACTCAACAGAATTATAAATCTCCAGAATTTGTCTTTGGGATGCCACTAACCTCCCCTTTGAGCAAGTGCAGCTTACTGTGAAAAGGACAATACAGGAGGACAAGGATACAAGACGATGGTTATGGGGTGGCCAGATGCACGTTCTTCTCACTCAGCCTTTTGCTCAGGTCAGCCTAACCCCAGCTGGTGTGGCAGGCCAGACCCAACAGAAAAAATCAAATCCTTCCCATCCTGGACTTATCTGGTGAAATGTCCCCTAAATACACAGAAACATTCCCCTGCAAAAGTCACATACCACTGGAGGAATGATGCTACATCAGCTGCACTTCCCTCCCAGGGAAAGGGAAGTTATTTGTGGGCTGGCAGCTCCTCCTGCTTCTCTCCCTGCACAGCCTGTGCCAAGCCCTTCTGTGGAGCCAGGTCTTAAGTCTGCACTGTCCGTGCCCAAGGACCATTTAAAACCACCACCATCCTGAGCTGAGCACCCACTGGTGCTGCATCCGGCACGCACACCTGCCCTGGACATGTGTGCTGGCAGGGAGCTCACTGCCTTGGCAAGCACAAGAGAAGCTGACAGCCTCTGGCTCAACCCTTCACCAGAAGCACCTGGTCCTGCCAGACTACTGAGGAGGAAGGGAGAAGGATGCTCTGAAACAGCAAGAGAAATTGTGGACTTAATGAGAAGTGGAAATTGGTTAGAAAAAAAAGGAGAAAATATCACAATGCAGGAGAAGTGCTACAGATTAGGGGTGTCTGTCCAAGAAGGCCGATGTCACCTCCTGGCATGCATTGCAGGGATCTCTGCTAAGACACACTCCCTCTCTAGGGCTGTCAGTACCATGACCTGCCATGAGCAAGCCAGCCCAAGGTGTTCTGCAGGCCCCACACTCCAGCCAAAGCAGCCTTTCAGCTCCTCACTGCCCTCTTGGCAGAGGGGCCGACAGGGGCCATGGGTGAGGGAGGGCTGATTGGACCTTTACAAGGCTCATGCAACCCTTTCCTGGACTACTGCAGCTTGACAGCTTGACAGTAGTCAAGCCCCTTGATAGAAAGGGCCTTTTGCAGCCAGCCAGGAGAGAGAAATACCAGAGAGGTCCCCAGAGCACCACCCCGGTTCTGGAGAGGATCCACCCAGAGTCCAGTAGGATATATCTCCACTCTTGTGTGGGACCATCCTCAGAGTTCACCTTCCCCACCATCATCCCTATCCCTGTATCCCTTGCCAGCCCACACTGCCTCAGAACTGTTCCTTCCTGCCTGCACACTGCTCACACAGACAACACTGGGGTCCGTGTCAAAAATGGAAGTGAAGAGTACATTTCCTTTAAGAGCAGCTCAATGTAAACACAGCACCTCCCATTCTGAGGGCACACAAATCCTTTCCAAACCATCCATCACCATCAGTCACCCATTACTCAGAAGCAGCAGGAAGCACAGCAGCCACTCTGTCCTGCTAACACCCTTGCAGAAGAGGGACAAAAATGACAGCCTCCAGCTGGTGTTGCAGGGGAGAGCAAGATGGTCCCATCAGCTGGAGCAGCATCTGAGGCATACCTATTTATTTATCATCTCCAAACATCCATCCAAAAGTTGACAAGCATCTGG